CTAATCGCCACCGCTCGCTTCTCTCTGTCAACACCACAACCCAACCAACTAGACCGATGAAAGACGACGAACACTCGTTCCGTTTTATTAATCGGCTCTACAAAATGGATAATGTGCTCACCACATTCGCCCAGTCCATTCCAAGCATCTATAGACCACCTGCTGCTGTCGCTTGACCATATTACTCTTCTTATGATCGGTTTTCATTCATATCTATTTGCAATAATATTCTTCATATTCATTTAGAGATAAGCAATGATGGCTGGGAATTTGCTCATACAGATTAGTTAAACTAAGCTAAAACAATGCAGTATTTTCTTGTAGAACACGAGGTTGCTACTACCTACTACATAGTATTTATTCACTATAACTGACGTTTCGGTTGATTTCGCATTCGTCAAAACCTGGCAAGGTCAAGTTAACCGCTATCTTGTAAGTTATATACTTCCATAACCTCAGCGAGAAAACCCCGACACATAGATCCCAATGCCATTAGATATACAACAGCTTCTGCACACACCCATCGCTTTCTGTGGGGGCACATTGCTTTTCCTAAGTGTTCATAGCACTAAACACTGATCGTACAACACTCCCTTAGGATCCGCCGTGTATTTACCTCTATTCGTAACACAGTTGGTGTAATTAAATGTTTTTTTTCCCTCGGCAGTGACTTTGGTGACCTAGCGATCTATCAAGCCACTGTTTTTTAATCTTTACAAACAAGTCTGGTGTCAGTCTGCCCACCCCTGATATATAAGGGCTTGGTTAGCCAACAGCGCTCGATTGAACTAAGGACGAGGTTTGAATTACTAGGTACGTCCAACTAGCGCACTAGGCACATCTCAGTCTCTAATTATTCGTATTAAGATACGTGACATTCTTGGAAATGAACATGAGGTCACGAATTGCCGAATGAGTGGCGGTTTTGTTATTATCGGATTTGAGATGGGGCCTGACAAAAACATCCTCAGGTAGCTTCGCAGCTGGTCGCATCTATCCTTGAGTGTTCGTAAACGTGCTAACCACAATATCCTCGAGTTGTCATCGTAACTGGTCACCTTTGTGACTCAGGAGTTCTATCTGTTCCCATGATGCGCTTGAGACTTGCCTAATAGAAAACAAAACTGAACTGTCCTTTTGATTCTACGACAATTTATATCAACCTCTGGTCTTTCTCTCATCTACAATTTTTATAAAGCCTATTGTGAATCCTCTTTTTGCTTTAAATTTAAGGTTTTTGCAGATTGTTACGGTATCAGTGATATCGTTACGTCATCTGGGAAAACTAAACGACATTGATAATATGATCTACTAAAGAACTTCAGTAGTTTTGTGTTGTGTTGTTAAATTAACAGATCTAAGCTTCTTGAAGTTCCCTCTTTAATTCTCACACTGCTTCATCTAGAAAAAGTCTCATTTTTGGTAATTTTCGAAATCATGGGAGATATTCAATGAAATATCCGTTTGGATGTCATCTTTTTAAGTTGTGATGTAGTTTTATTATTACGCCAAGTTCTTCTTCTATGGCCCATTATGTTGAAGTTAGTTCTTGTTGCTATTTTTCACTTTTTTGATGTGATATTTATGTTACAGAGTGACTTTAACAAGTGTATTAGGGTGCGTGTAGAGCAGTGCTAGAAGTGTCCTCCATTGTAAACGTGGTCTTTGGTTCGAACCAGCGTCATGGGCCAACCTAACTCTTCATTCCGTTTGTTTTGACTAAAATTGATTCCATACTTGTCCAATAATGTAGAAACACTCACTTACTCATTACTAAGGACACGTTAGTCATTGTATGAACCAAATAAGCATCCAGTCATGTCTATAATGCTACGATCGGAGCTGAATGCATTGCACATCCATAGGAGATTAGTAAGCACCAAATCCTTTATCTCTTTATTGTTTGTAATTTCGTGAAATTAATGCCGTAATAGCTCTTGTTTTATCAGCGGACTAAATGAGTACTGGTTACCTCAAAATTTTACTAGACAAGTAATTCTTTTCTACTGTCTTATAGATGGCCCGCACAAATGCTCAACTTCAAATAAAACGGAAATGGTGGGGATCGATCGATTCGAGTTTGAATACTCGAATTCGACCGTTGATTCAATCGATATAGTCCTGAGTAGTAGTAGTATAGCCGGAATACATGAAAATAGCAGTATATTTGCGTGTCTGGCCAAGCAGCAGAAATTCGACGCCGATCTCGGTTAAAGGATACTTCAAATGAAATGAAAAAGATCTTCCCCTCATTAGCTCAAAACGACGAAAAAGCTTTCACACAGGAGAACATAAGATCATCAAGCGGCATATATATATATATATATATATATATATGATTGTATGTATATATGCTTGTGTGTGAGTACGTTCAGCTGTAAGGTTCATCCATCTTTTCTCGCTCTTTCTACCTCTTTCCCTTTCCCCTTACTTCTTCTCTTTGTCTTTCTCTTTTCTTCCGCGTTCTTTTCGACTCTTCCCCTTCTCTTTGACTTTTTTAAAATCCCTTTTATCCTTTTTCCTTCCTTCTCCTTCTCTCTCACCTTCTTTTTACTTCGTTATCTATCGGTTGTCTGCCTCTTTTATTGTCCGTTTGTTCATCCCTGCCTGCCTGTCTATCTGTTTATCTATGTCTTTATCCACCTTTTAGTTAATTATAACATCAATCTATATCTAGTTTTGTTAAAATCTTTATTGATTGGCAAGTAACCTTTTAGCCAACTTCTTGATGTATTCGTTGAGTGATTGACGTTCCGAGTAAATCTCTCTTCGTCCTTGGAGTTTGACGAAGAGTCCAAATGAAATCTGACTAAGTTGATCAAATCTCACTTCAATAGTACGGAGCCGTAAGTGGCCCGTCTAAAGTTTATGATTTTGTGCGAAGTACACGACGGCCTAGATCGACTGCACCAAGTTTGTATTACTTCGTAGACATGGTTTATTTTACCGATCATTTAAAACTGAAAAAAGGAATAAAAACACCGTATTGCTACTTTTATGGGTTGGAGGTTACTATAGTCTATCAATTAGGACGTCAGGTGTGAAGTCGACGTCTATATGCAGAACTTAAGAAGTTCAAGAGATAGATAAAAATATTCTTTACTCGTTATTGATGGCAAACTTTCCCACCTATATTGACTCACTGTGGAAAAATAGAGGACTTCGGTGTACGTAGGAGGCGACCAAACAGGAATGTTGGGGAATTTGTGGACTCCGCTGGCTGTTCAGTTGCACTTACTGTGCTACAATTCATAAAACCTGTTTCAAATATGACATGCGATACACTTTTCCCAAGCACTCATAAGCAGTTACCAGTTAGTTTTTGCATTTTTGGATTATATTGAAACAGTAAATCACTTGTCGTCTAGAGAGGTGCCGTGCATATCACTCCATTCATATCGTCGTAGACATCATTGGATGCATGTCTGGCCATACGTAGGACATCTAAGGATCAATGTTAATTTCAACAACTACATTTTTACTCAAATAATAAAACTTGCGAGGAGCCTACCGATGCATTTGGCCTGTGCTTTTATCCACTCAAAGATGTCTGGTACCAATTTGCCAACGGCAGAGGGTTGGAAGGCGTGGTAAGCCCAAATGGTGGGATAGGACCAATGATTCCGTGTGAATCGCAGCACACCTCTCACCACTGTTCTACACATCTACTATAGTGTAGAGTATACAGTTTGTTCTTACCGTTCCACACGCCAATGTCAAGTTAAAACTTTTACGCGCATTAGGAGTTCTATCTATATGTTAAGGCTGCGTTATGTCCATCCTTTTACTTCCAACTGGAGTCTGAAGGATTGCAACAGAACAGGCTGATTTACGTGATCTTTTTGTTTAGTTCTACTTTTGTCTTCACAAAGAACATTCTGATTCATTGTATCGCCCTGAGTCACCATAGAATATTTATTCAAGTAGCAATGTTGATTCCACCCCGATACGTTTTTGTTCAGATATTAGTGTCACATGTTTCACACTTGATGTCTTAAAACTAGGTGGTTCGTTTTCTATTCAACTGTTTATTGACCTCACTCAACAATTTCAAAAGAACTATGTAGTGGAAAAGAAACGGAGCAGTAAGCGTCGTAGTGGCAGAGGTGCCGTTCAATAACCTTGCTTAGTATTTCTCATTCTTAACTCATGCTATAAACGGTTTGTCGCGATTCTAATGAAATCCTGCATCGGGTGAAACAAACTTTCCTTTCAATAAATCCTTTCATACTCGGGAAATTGATATGAAACTTGACTGAGAAGATAAAACCACTGATTTGACACATTGGTACGCCACTCTAGTCAATGTAAAGGTCAGATGTGCATTATACAGATGTCACTAGCACAACGCTACGAATGGAATCGAATGCGTGGTGCATCCCTTAAATAAGGAGCAATGCCAAAAGCTTTATCTCTTGTTTTTCTCGTTTAAGTGGTGAGTAATAACGTGTGTAGCAAATCCCAGGACCGACTTTCTTTTAATCTCGTCCTTGATCCATATTTCATTGTTTTCTTGATGAGCAGACACGAGGTGGTTAGCAAAATTTATTCAGTACAAAACTGGCTGACGTTCCGCCAGTTTCAGAGCCTGGAATAGTCGAGTCGACGCGCAATCCACTTAGTAAAACACTGTCATAACCTCAGCAGACAAAACCTAATACATATATGTTTACTTGAATAGTGAACAGCTTATTTTAAACACTCACACCGTCTTGTTCTTTGTACGTCTTTCAGTTATTTGCTAGGGACCAGTAGCACACATTTGTGTCAGTTTGACCTTTCCAGGCTCAGAAGAGGCCGAAACGTCGACTGTTGCGAATATATAGACCCTGTAATGACAAATTCGTGTTTGTTCATCAAGAAAATGGTGAATAACGTGTGTAATGTTAAGCATAACTTTATTTGGTAGTCAGATAGTATTTTCTTGTTTCATTCAGATTGTCCGTTTTTCTTTCTTTTTCAACATAGTAGCGAATACTAACCAGTAAGTGATTGTTCAGATGGACAGTCGTGATCGGCATCACCCTTACGACGACGGTGAGCTGAAAGTGACGCTGGAGACATCGGACGACGACGATGAACACGGCTATCACACACCGAAAAACATCTTCAACGCTGAAATGTCGAGGTGATTAAGAATATTTGACAATATGGAACATATATGGTTGTTATTCATGAGATAGTTCACGTTATTCCGATTAAAACAAGAAATACTTCTGTCTAAGAAACTGATCAAAAGTTTTGTTACGCGCTCATCAGATTCGATGTACATGCACTAGTAGTGTACTGGTGTTATTTCATAACTCTGACAAAAGATGTCGTCTTAAAAACCTTACGATTCACCACAATCCTTAATTTAGCTGTTTATCGGTTTCTCATACTTCTGATATTTGAATACCATTTATTTGCCATAGCTGTTTAACATTTATTACTTGTTTCATAGGCTCATGTAGCTCAACGCTCGAAGGCGCCCTGCAATAAATACGGGATCAATCCTCACGCCACAGGCCCATCAAGCCCTCCATCCTTCTAGGGTTGGCAGTTTGGTACCAGTTTGTCTGAGAGAATAGTATTACTGGCTCGATACTTTGGTGGGCCACCGCGAGTCATTTTGAAAGCCAGATATGCATTCAATCATCTCCAACGATGTTACGAATTGAGTCGAATGCATGGTGCATCCCTCAGGGTTAGATCAACGCCGAGAGCTTTATCCTTTTTACCCTTTATTCATGCATTCGTCGTGAAGTGATAGTAATGTCGTTCAATATGCGCAAGGCTTTAATTCAACCCTACCTATGGCCAACCAACTCCGCTATCTCTTCGGGTTCGGGAAATTCGTGCCAAACTTGTCTGGGGTCAGCTTATTGTCTACAGTCCACGTGGGTACGCTCTAGTACAGCTATCTCAGGACTATAGCAGAACAGACTCAACCAGCACTTAGCCACATTAATCAAGAAAACCGAACAGTCTTGTAGCAGCGACCGAACCCACAAGAAAATCCGAAGACTTTGTGGATGAGGAGTACGACGAAACGAATTCAATGTGTAAAATGCTGGGATCTGTGCAATATTTGACATCGAACCATATAAAATGGATCAATAACTGAAATTTATCTCCTATGTGGGGCGCGTGTGGCGCAGTGATAGGAAGCGCCCTGTAACGCAAACGGGGCATAGATCGCCGCGCCCAGGGCCCACCAAGCTTTCCATCCTTCCGCGGTCGGCAAATCGGTACAGGACATGTCTGGGAGGATAGCAGCACTGGCTCTATAAATCGATAGGCCACCGAGAGTCATTGTAAAGGCCGAATATACATTAAATCACCTCCAAACAATGCTTAATGAAGACCAATGCATGGCGCACCTCTTAGGGATTGATCAACGTCGACAGTTTTATCCTTTTCATCTCCTGTGTTTGATGTAAGTGTTAATCACTTAGTCAGTTACCCTTTATGTATAAATAAATAACAAAAACGAAAATAGTGTTCGCAAAAAGTAATGTTTTACTAAGGAGAAAAAAATGGACAGAAGCAAGTACCCGCAGTTTTTGAATCCTTGAAACACCGACAATCACTTTGTTTTCGCTACGGGACCCAAATTAGAGACTGCTATAACAAAAATTGAAGACTATTAACTTGCTAACAAATCATTAACAGTGGTTTTATAGCGTTTTCACGATAGGACCCTACTTAACTAGATGACCTCTTCATAACCACAACCTGTTAACACTCATTTAATACCGTTTTCGCTGCAGGACCCACATTGCAGACTATCGTGACTGTAATTCACTTTACACCGCTTCCGCTTTAGGAATCACGTTGTAAACTTTCACAACTGAAACTCACTAACAGCCATTTCACATTGCTTTTGCCACAGTACTTCCATTGCAGACTGTCACAACTACAACTCGCATGCACAACATTCCCGTCACCTCCGTTGCCTATGGGAAAAAGTGGACCAAAACCTGATGACGATGAGAATCCCTATTCTACGATAAAGAAATGCCCACAAAGATCGTCGATGATAAAAAATCTCGAATCACTGATACAAATGAACGCCACAACGGTACAACAGAAGAAAAGGTAGCATTCACAGTTTACTCTATTCACCATCGTTGGAATTGTTTTTTCTTTTTTTTATTTCTTTTTTTACCGTTCCTTTCACTTAACTTTCACTCATTTTTGGATTAATGTATTATCAGCTTCAATATTTTATCTTTCATTAAAAAATAGACACGTGTTTAGGCTTTCTTCTTTGCTATAGTTTATGCCTATTATTCCTTCCAACGGTTTACCTCCTCATCGTGGCCGGAAGGTGTTCCTGGGTGTTGGGCTGTGATGTACAGCAGGGGGATTCGTTCTCCCGGTAGGGTCTCCCAAGCTGAGAAGGAGTTCTAAGTTTCCATCAGGAAGCCTAACTAAGAGTAAACCAGTACCAGGATCCACCACCGTCCTGGTATAAAACTGGTGGCATGTTGGCAAATCTCCTCGTGATCCACAAAGGCCGGCGACTGTCTGTCGTGGTGAAGGCCTGGGGCAGACTTTGGCTAGGTTGTCCTTAGGATTCCAGGGAACCACAATAGCTTAACCAGCAAATCTCCGAAAAACGGTGATTGTGCTGGGGCCCGCAAAACTAGTGAAGACGGGCCATCCAAGTAAGTAGTATACTAATTACTGATGATACTCCATCTCTTACACATTTGAATACATGAATGCACTATTACAATAAGATCTGCACAGTGGAAGTAAATGACATCTAAAAAAAAACTGATGCTATGTCTTCTGAAAAATGTGAAAGTGCAAAAATAAACCTGATACAAACTTTGAATGCTAGGGAGAAAAGTAAGAAACGGAGATTTTGCTTGTTGATTGCAAGTATGGTAATAGCTTATCTTTCATCTTCTCTTCGATATTTGTCACATATTTTCATGATAACTGCTAATACACCTATAAAATGAGTTAAATATACTTCATTAAAGTGTACAATTGCAAATGAGTCAATATCGCTTCATAGTTGTCATTCAGTCCGATGTTCTACCGTGAGTTGAGTATGGAGAATATGCTTCGTGAATTGGAAGCCGTTCCATTTATGAAGAAATTATCGCTGTTCGAACGCTTTTCGGATATCGACCACGTTGATATCGCACTCTGTATATCGTTCTTATTACTAGTCATTTTTGGTATTTTCGGATTCTACATAATCATTAATGAGTTTTCGTAATAAATATTGATTGATCGCTCTGATAGACATGGAGCTGCTAAGTTCTCTCAACGGAAGAGACATCGTTTCGTTGAAAGTTAAAAGAAACAGAGAAGTTCTTCTATGGATTTGAGCTTTGAAACTATCACGAATTTCAAAAACATCTCATTTCGTAACAATACAATTGGAATGCAGTGATACTCGCACGGCCCATAGACGGGTTGTTCGTTAGTGCGCCACGGAGGCCCTCGCTCTGAGTTTCTCTCAGCTATTTTTCTATCTACCAGCGCCATCAGCAATCAGCCATCAACAGAATTGATCTGAGGAGCCCAAAAAAATGATACTGCAAACTGACAGCAAACTGATCTGGAGGGATAAAAACATTGGAAACAGTGATATATGCGTAAGATCCCATAAGTCATTGTGTAGTAGGCCAAAAATGCATCCAACCATCTCCGGAATGCTAACAATGGATTTAGATGCATAGTATATCCCTATGGGATTTAGCAACGGTCCACCTTTCATGCTCTTTTTATTATGTATTCACTAAAAACCACCAAAAACGAGTTCATTAAGAAAACGAGTGTTACGATTGGTCGACGAGTTGGCTAAAGGAACAATCAACTGATTCAACTGTTTTCGTTATCGAACGAAACAATGATAGCACTGAACGATACACGAACACAAGAATCTGTACAGAGGGAATAATGTATAAACTAATGAGAACATATGCAACATATGAGAACAAAACATAGATGGACGAGAGTAAGTTAGATATTAAGGTAGTACTTAGAAGGATGGAAAAATCGAAACGGATCAATAACCGTGTAGAATTACGGGTTAAACGCCAGAATACTGATAGATCGATAACGAAGTAGAACGCATAGGTAGACAATGTTTAAAAGAAGACTTGATGGTAGAAAAGAAAAAAGAAAAAAAGAAAACGAAATAGCCATTAACGACACATTTAAAGTCCTTAGTGTTTTCGTTGGGTTGCGGAAGATCAACTGATCACGTCTACGGCATTTCCAAGTGAGAGTTCCACAACCACAGATACCGTTGGAACCACTAGTGGCTCTATTCAGAATGTGTTCTTGTCTAAGCATCTGCCAACTAGCACAAATAGTGAGCGCCCAACTACCACATCACTGCCTGCTCCGCCACTATACTACGCTTAATAGCTTCGAACAGTGCGTAGCATTACGTTAGGAGCCTTAAAAAAGGCAGCTGAGAAAGCAAGGAAATTTCCTAGTTAAGTAATTTAGTGCATGGATTTCACAAAATCTCCGAATGGCACTACAATGCTAAAAGCTAAAGACATCGAACACACAGATTAGTATTATACTAAAGGTGATGACTAAAATGAAACAATGACATAACATTATTATGTATTAAGAGAAGAAAAAGTCCATTTAACAAGCTGAATCTCAACAAGAGAAACGTGTAGACGAAACAGAAAGATCAGATAAAGAGCTGTACGGGTTTCATGGTGTTGTACGAGTTGTAGTGAGTTAGTGTTTTGCCTCGTTTTCATCTTTTGACGTTGAACCATCGTCAACAGCGTTGTCCGCTTTTGGAAGAAGCGTCTCCATTTCTTTTGCATCACTGAAATTGTCAAATTTTCTACTAGGGAGAACCATTTAAACAGATTTTAAGTAGTCGTTAAGAAAAGTGAAATTTTCTTAAAGGTTTGTTAAAATAGTACAGCGAGCGGATGGTGCAGTGGTAGTGACACTGTTCACTGCGCTGACGTCCAAAGCTACCAAGTCCCTGATTCGTTGGCGTTTCGCACGAATCAAGATCCTTGTCCCAGTAGGGAAAATGATAGCACATTTGTTTGGGACAATTTCACTCCCTCCAATTCAAGCGGGAAACGCCTCAGTACAGCTATTTCAGGCAACCAAGAAGCATCGATTCCACCAAACTTCAATGATATTCGTGATGATTCTTAGATAGCAACCGATGCCACAAGCGAAAGGTTCCAAGACTTTTGTAGATGGTGAATGCGAGGAAGCAAATTTAATGGAAAAAATTCTGTGAACCGCACAATGTAAGCACATGTGGTATCGAGTCGGGCAAAATGAACAAGTAAATAAGTGAGGTGAAGTAAACTAAAAAATAAAATGATATTCAAATATGGTCAGAATTCCGAGGACGAATTGTTCAACCTTCCGAAAATTAATAATCAGAATGAAACTGACTGCTAGAGAAAAGTGCAGGAGCGATAGAACTTACGCTTTCGGTTCGGGTTCCACACTCTTCTTTCCAGCGCTGTCCAAGCTGCAGTTTTTGGTTTCCTGAACGTGAAGACTTTGAACTGTAGGGGATTCATTATTATATCCGGTAGTTTTTTTTCATTTCGGTTGTAAAGTGGCGAACAGTGAATATTTCACGTACCTGGAGCCATAAGAAGGCGACAAGAACATTAGCCGTGCCGCAAACCATTGAAATCATATGCACTCCTGGTTCGTAGACCGTCTTGAGACCGCTCTGTAAACACCCTCTGTAGACCCTCTGCGTGTTTTTTAACCCACTTGGAATTGGTGAATATTACACCTTTCAAACCAAAAACGTGCTCCCTATAATATTAAAAATCTAAGAAAAAACATAGGCCACAGTTACGGTGCCTAAAAATTCATTAGCGTTTTTTTTGGGCATATACGGAACAATATCGTCGTTAATCTCCCATGAAGTGCACGCCTCCTGCAAAGAGTTCCAACCAATTGCTAGCACATTCCACTCAAAAATAAGGTTTTCTATCAATCCCTTACCTGGTAAGAAAAGAAAAAGTCTGGCAAGAAAAGTGGTTTGACTAGGCGACATCTCGATCAAAGCTGTTTACGGCAGTACTGTATTGTTAATGAAGTGAGTAATTCAAGATTGAAAGTGTATATTGCTTTCTCGACATGACCAAGTTATTGATGAATACCGATGAAACACAGACGACTTTCAAAAATCCCAACTAGAAAGAAGGACTTTCTGTGACTATGAGAATCACAGGTCACGGTTTATTCAGCCTCTTTACCGCTCACTGTATAGCTAACACATGCTTCAGCCGCAATCGTGTCAACAATTTTACGCATTATCGTCCACAAAGAGCTCGAAAGCCATTTTCTAAAACGTAGCCGGACCAATTAATATTAAGCTGCAATGATATGCTCAACTCTTCGAAAATATTTCGAAACCGACCTTCCATAAACCTCGGTGTGACAAATCAATATGTATTCTTTCTTGATAAGCTTGCACGAGGTTGATAAATATATTTATTTTCGGCTAACGTTTCGACGTCTTCGTCTTCCTCAGAGCCGGTGATCCGGGCATCACTGAGTGAGGATGCCTCATTCGAGAAGATGGCTCGCTGAGGAAGATCTGGCTCGACAGGAAGGCGAAGACGCAACGTCGAGGCGAACAACAAGCATGGACCATCGACTCGGATCACCGTCTCTGAGGAAGACGAAGACGTCGAAACGTTAGCCGAAAATAAATATATTTATCAACCTCGTGCAAGCTTATCAAGAAAGAATACATCTTCGAAAATAATTTCGTCCTCGAGACCCACGAGAGTGTACATCTAATAGGCCGGAAATATGATGTGAACAGTTAGGAACGGATGAGGGAGAAAAACGTTGAGTGGACCCCAAAAGTAGGCGATCGTCATCAGCGACAAAAACGATTGGTGACGATCGTTAGGTAGTGAAACGAATAAAAAATATGTTTGTGCGTTGTACGAGTACTGAGAAAAGTTAGGCAAAAGATATTTCCTTTTCAAGCAACGAAGAAAATCCCATTGGCGTTATTTCTGATAAGGGACTATTAACCGTTGATTAGTTCCAATATTCAGACTGATCTGGTGTTCTACTTCAGCGTTTCAAAGTAAATATGGTCAAAAAACGCTCACGTATCCACATGAGCAGAACTCTGCACTCACGACATTTTTTCCATCATATATCGAATTCACATCAACCTACCAGCATAGAAGCGCCAATGTTAGCAATACGCCCGACAATGGAACATGAAGCAGTGCTTGTGGCTCGGACATCGGTTGGCATCAGCTCTGATGCACAAAGATAGCACGGCTCCCAGACAATTGACGTAAAGACGAAAGCTGCCAGATATACCATGGTATAGTACCACTCGCCCTAAAGCAGTACTAGTTTATCAGCTACTAATTATTTTCTCTTCACAAAAAAAAATGATGCCATACAAATTGAGTTCGAAGGATCAACTACCTGAAGATTTCAAAAAAAAGCCATACCTTCTGCCCCATGAACAAAAATGCAATAACGCAACCAAAGAACACAACGGCCAATCCTTGAGAGACAAGCAGTACAAAGCGACGCCCCATCCAAGGTAGGACTCCATCAGCAAATCCGATTATCTAAACACACCTAACTCGACTTCAAGTAGCAGTGGTACGGTAACAACCTGGGCGGAGGTGATAGCGACTGATAACTCACCACCCTGACGACCGAAAGCAGAATACCAGACAGAAACTGACCAATCCAGAAGTTTTTTGTCATGTCACCACCACAGAGATCGGTAAGATAGGCGGTCATTCCAGTTACGAACCACCTAAGAGAATACGATCAGAGCTGAGCTATTAATTCCAGATATTTCCATTAGATTTTATCTAGATTCCTGTAATAACTAACTCGTTTAGAAATAAGAACAATCGCAAGAAAGATTTATATTCGTATTTATTTGTACATGCTTCAATATATATATATATATATATATATATATATATATATATGCATGTGCACGTATGTGTGCATATGTATGTGTACGTATACATATGTATACGTATTTGTGTATGTGTATGCATGTGCATGTAAATGAAAATGTATGTATATGCATGTGAGTGCATATATATATATATATGTGAATGTATATATATGTATATCTATGTGTATATATACGTGTACACGTTCGTGTGTATGTATATGACCACGCATATACATGTGTCTATGTATATGTGTACATACATGCGTATCTATGTATCTATGTGTATACAAATGTGTACTTATGTATACGCTTATGTATATGTATACACGTATGTATATGTATATGTATATGTATAAGTGTAGAAACTTACATCACCCATAGCACAAGTAGATTCCTTCTCAAATGAGGCTCTCGGAATACACCGACGATACTCATCGCCTTCTCCGGTTCCATGACTTCACCTTTATTCACAGGTGGAGGCACTAAATTTACTTACATGGAATTTTATTTAGCAGTAAATTGTATGCTTTTTCGACAACAATCGCTTCTTTCCTTCTCTTTGAACGGTAAATTATAAACACGAAGTTTAAGCCACAATGTTGCTGAGATAAATGAAAAATCCCAGACCACAGGTGTATGCGGTGAGGAACGCTCACCACCACACCATACGGGTCCTTTGTTTCGACCTTCTCTCAGCCAAGTGCTGATGGGTAATTGCTGATAGCAGCTATAGATCAACAACACAGCTGAGAGAAAGGCAAAACAAATGATACGCATTGTGTGATGGTGAACGCGTTAGACCACAAAAATAGTAGTAGGTCTTCGTTACCCGACACAGACACCTGCGAATCGGAGTCTTGCAAATACCTCAGCATCAAAACTCGGACTCCGGGGCAGATCGAATCATGAGTTTTTTTCCAGGGACTAGCGCACTACGCACTGCGCTACGAAGACCCTTACTCTGCATTTCTCTCAGCTAGTTTTCTACTTAACACTAGCAACAGCAAACACCTGCCAGCGGGGTGAGAGAAACGCTGAGCAAGAACCTCCGTGGCGCAGTGTGTAGTGGGCGAGCTCCCGAAAAGGGAAATCGTGGTTCGATCTGGCCCGACGTCCAAGTTCTGCGAATGTCTCAATATTATTGTGGTTGCACCTTACATCATAGCCTGCCATAAAAAACTGTAGTAAGCAGTAAATAAAAAAACAAACGTTATGATTTCGACTACAGGCTCAACTCAACTGGATTCAATGCCGATTTGTGCTCCCCAGACCAATCCCGCTGACAGGTGATTGCTGATGGCTGTGTTAGATAAAAAATTAGCTGAGAGAAACACAGAGTAAGGGGCCTCCGTTGCGCAGTGTGTAGTGTGGGAGACTCCGGAAAGGAAAATCGTGGTTCGATCTGGCTCGAGGTTCAAGTTTTGCGAATATCTCAGCATCATTGTGGATGTATCGCATATAATACTCTGCCGTGAGAAATTGTAAAAGGCAGGAAATAGAAAGCAAACACAAACATTGTGGAGTTTAAATCGTTTAGAATAGATCAATCTCTCAGCGATGCTCTTTGGATTGGTAGACATCCTGGAGGTAATTGAACATATATTTAGTTTATATGATGACCTGCACGGGCTTCCGATGCAGAAGATTAGTGGTTTTATCATCTCAGAAATGTATCAGTTCATAGACTCCGAAGGGATAAAATCCCTCTTTCCAGAGATTTCCACTTCCTTCCCTGTTATTTTGTTCTTTCCTGTTCGTAGACCCATTATATTTGAGGAATTTTCGACTCACTGGGTTCGAACTTCATGCCTGAGATGTATGCGATACGTTTGCGGCTCTCCTCACTTTCAGCAAAACGACCCTAAACGAATTTACTCGTAAGGACTGCAACAGAACCATGAACTCTCGCATTTAATAAGCTGAAAAATGGTTTAGAAAAGATAATTTTAATTGGTCCGAGTTTCGATTACCTTCTTTCGAAGCCAAATATGGCTTTCCGGTAGTATAAAGAGTATAATGCAAAGCTTAATACAGGCGATCACTGCCGATAAATAGGAGGATAGACGCCATTCACCAGCAAACAAACACACTAAGGTCAACAAAATACGGCCGTTTGCCTAAACAAGTAATTCGTCATTAATTCTCCATTGAATGTGTGATGTTAGTAAGGCGTTAAATGGAAGTAAAAGTAATAAAGTGCTCATAAAACTATGTCAACGATGCTGAAAAGGTGTTTTTCCTTCTAAGAATTTCCCTATATTGTAAAATGATGTAAAAAAAATAATGAGGATTACGACGTTCACAAGAAGATTATTTACTGAAAAGATAAAAATAAAGCTCTCGGCGTTGATCAATTCCTGAGGGATGCGCCATGAATTTGACTTCATTAAACATCGTTTGGAGGTGATTGAATGCATATCTGGCCTTTACAATGACTCGCGATGGCTTACCGATGTATCAAGCCAGTGCTGCTATCCTCACAGACAAGTCTGGTACCAATTTGCCGACCCCGGAGGGATGGAAGGCTTGGTTTGCCATAATAGCGGGGATCTGTACCACGTTGCAGGGCGCCTCCGATCACTGCGCCATGCGTGCCTTATTTACTTAAAGAGAAATCAATAGTATTCTCAGCGCTTTTCTTTTTAATTGAGCCATCATCATGAATCAGACCTCTACTCACCCAGTTACTGAACGTCCTCAGCTTAAACCTTTGATGCGGTGACACAAGCTCGGAAAAGTACGCCCAACCGACGACCATAGTTCCTACAATGTTCTCCATATAACTATTGAAATTTATGGTAATAATTTGTTTTTTACATTTTACAAGACCTGTAATCACATCTACTGTGCGGATCCCGACACTTCCTGCATTCGATTCGCTTTCTTCGCACTCATCGTCTTCAATGGTCTTCGAACATTTCGCTTGTTGTTTAGGATGTTGCTTGAGGGTTTCGTCTTATTCACGAATTTCGCGGAATGTTAATCGATTCGATTCCCCTTGCAATCTTGGAGATAGCTCATCATAAGCAGATGCTAGTCTTTGAGGATCAGAGGAAGCCAGCTGATTTTGGGTAGGTCTTACAGCAATTTTCCAACTACAGAGAGATAGGAGGCTTGGTGAGATGGGTGCCTCATCGAACCAGAGCTTTATTGAAGTGAATAAGCTCTACGACCACTGCGCTGTTCGCTCTTGGTATTTTACGTTTCACCATATAGTATAAAACGGAATGATAGTGACGATTTCCAGTAAAAAAAAAAACTACGTATCCAGTAGATACTGCATAGCTTACCGGCGATTCCAATACCAGTTAGAGCTCTGAGGAAGTAGAAAGCGGCGATACTGTCGAAAAAACCTGAAATCAATCGACAATTCGAATGATCGATGTGTTGTACGATTGCTTTGCAATCAATTTTTGGTAAAATTTGGATCAACCCCGTACTGTTCTACTCCTCATTAATTCGAGGATTTTTGTTGTTCCTCATGAACTGTGGGAAGAGATAAAAAATACAGTAATTAATAAGTGAAGCATCAAATTTACCAGATAGTGCCAATGCAGGAATACCAATGAAAAGCGATACAAGATAAGTTTTTCGGCGACCGATCTTATCCGCAACCCATCCCAAAATTATGTTTCCGATCAGAACGCCGAAATACTGAGCGAATGCAGGACGAATACTGAAAAACCGCAATGCTTATTTATTTATTTATTGTTTAATAATTGAAACAATCCCAAAACTCTGGACCGCAGGTTTGTGCGGTGGGGAACGAGCGCGCTATTACCCTTTCCGGCGCTAAGGCGTTCACTACCACACCATGCGGGTCCACTGATCGATAGAACCACCTGTGCGGCAGGCGAAACGAAGGACGAAAGACATCCGGAGTTTTACAAATATCTCAGCATCATCTTGGCTGTATTTCACATGATACCTTGCCGTAAAATCACCAGAAATGGTAAATTTTCAAAAAAAAAATGAAAAAATCGATAACGAACTCTTTCCATCCGGGCTTACAGTAGATACCGAATTCCATAGCGGCTGACTTGTAATAGGCATGAGAGTATTCGCTTACACATGCGGCCTTCAAAAGCCAAATATATCTAATGATACGGTATTAGCCATTTCCTTAACCTTACTCTAATATCCCCTGCTTTCAACACCTATCTAAATGACGGGAACTCGAAAAGCAGTTGTAATTGAATGCTACGTGCACTATCTTTACCTTGGCGGACGGTGTTGTAGCGTTAGCGCAAAGATCTGGACAATCTGGACATTCCATGCATTTGTTTTTTGGTACATAATAACATCGATTACCTAAAAAGCAGTGCTACGTAAAATTGAATATTAGGGAGTGAAATACCACTCTTTCTAGTCGATATTACTTCCATCTGAAAGTTGATCACGTCGTTCTGTCAGAAATATTACGGTAGCTATTAACGAAATATACCAGTCAAAAAGAAAATGCTCAACGACTGAAAGAGAGGCCTGAATACGATAAGTGTGGATCTTAATCCTTTAAATAGCTAAGTGCTTAAATGACCCATAAATCAACATGAACAAAATTGAAGCCTACAACCTAAAACTCTGATATTAACGTTTGAAATTTTTAGCTAGTCCGTTTGGAACAATACATCGAGAAATGGCCAAAAAATTTCCCGTGAAATATTTCACGTAGAGCTTTCTAAAGGTTGAGCTAACACGAAGTTAGGATGGACTTTTATTCGGATAACGTTTCAGCACCTCCAAATACTTCAGACCCGCTACGACGAGCTGTGGACCGCATATTTGGATCAAAGCTTACAGCTTCTCAAGCTTCAGATCAAGCTTCTGAAGAACGAAAATACGCCAAAAAGTTAGCCGAGTAAAAGTTTATATCCATTTTGTGTTAGCTCTGTCGTATAGAAAATTATTGAACTTTTTCACCGACGTTTACTGAAAGTCTATTTTCTAGATATTCCATTCATGGTCTATGGCCGCTGCCAACGCATTTTTTTTTCCAAAGAAGCGAGTTGCTTATGTGTGTCAGTGTGTATCGGTGTGAATCGGTGCGCGTCAGTATATATATATACATATACATATGTATATGTCTGTGGACGTGGGTGTGCGTTTGTCTTAGTGTGTGCATATGTGCATGTGTTTATGTACGTGTGCACGCGTGTGTGCACATGCGTGCGTATCCGTGTTTGCATGCGTGTGTGTTTGTATGTATATATGCACGTGTGTGTGTATGTGCGGTCGGGTGTGTGTGTGTGAGTCATTAAAAGAACTGCGTTTTCAGTTTCTTCACCATTTTGTTGCTTTCAAAGCAAAAATTGTGATCGATCGCGAAGAGCAAGGTTAATCACCGGACACATCAAGAATTCTCTTCTCATTTTCACCAACAGCACAATTAAATACAAGGTGGACGAAGCTTTCACGTGTACTGACCTGGCAGTACCACTCTCTGTAGTAACTTTTCGATTAGTTTTATACACTCACCTTGACAAGCCGTTTTTGGTGTGTGATTGAGAAAGATTGGAAACAGTTGTTGGACAGAGAAAAAATGATTCAACTGATAAGTAAGCAGAATAAGAATGTCAAATCGGTAATAACCTGAAAACAACAAAAGTAAAAATTCCAAAGCAAAAGATATAAGACCTGAAAAATGATTTCGTTTCCTGACCCTCCACTTGTCATACCATTATCAGTTTCACTTGTACAACTTGTGAAGCTTCTATAAGTATCCAAAAATCCACAATAAGACAAGAGCTTGGTCACTAACACAAGTGACGGTATGCATTTATTTCAATGCATTACGCATTCCAGTCGTTTATTTTGCCGCAAACGGGTTTTTCTGCACTTTCCGTGGTCAACCGATAGCCTATACAACAAGCACAAAGCCATTAGTTATTTTATCCACAAACTTCCGGACTTCATTTTTGTTTAAGCTTCCTGAAACCACCCTTTTTAGCTTGTTGCCGTCGCGAATCAAATTCGAAAGCAGTCGTCTTCCACGGTGTCCATAGAGATAACACAAGCTGTTGTTACACTTTAACAGCTCCTCGTACACATCTGTTCATAACGACAGAAGTTTTTTTTTCTCTTTCGTTCTTTCTCTTTTGTTTCGAATTCAATACATGTCTCCAAAGCGGTGAAAAGAGACATTTATTGGTCAGATTTACTCTGCTGAGCGTCTCTTAATAAAGGAAAAAACCACTTAACCTTACCAGGTTTCAGTAACTGCATTTTGATTTGTGGCCCGCGCTAGATGTTGATGTTTCACGAGCCGGATTCCTTCCCTTAAATTACTGAATTGCTGGCGAGCAAATACGAAAGAAAAAGAAACCCGCAAGTAACTGAACCAAAAGCAACAACGAAAAAGTAAACAAAAACTGAAGGCAGGTGTGGCGACGAACAAAACAAACAGAAGAAAACTCCAGAGATGAACGACGCATCCGTTTCAAAAATTTTCCAGCACTTAGTGAATCAGTCAATAACAAAATGAAGAAGAAAGAAGGATATGATGGAAATGAGGATGAACAAGCAAATTCTCAAAGGTGACGTAAAACATTTTTCGATGAAGTAAAAATGTGAGTTCAGCGTTGATCAACAATCCTGGGTCACGCATTTGACTCCATTCATAACATTATAGAGGTGTTTGAATGTATATTTAACCTGCATAATAACTCGCAGTAGTGCACTATGTCAGCGCTGTTATTTTCCCGTACAGGTATATAGCACCAATTTGTCTATTATTATGGATGTCGAGGGAAGCTAGGGCTGCGCGCATGATCGAACCAAAGACCAAGTGTGTATTGAAGGACACTCTAGCTACTGTGATAAACACGTAGACAAACGATAAAGAAGAATTTTAATGAGATGTATACGCACGAAGAATATCTTCAGTGAGGAGTGAAGATGTACTTTATATCCAATCCACTTCAATATGGAAAACACATTCAAATTCAAGAAACGAGGAAGTATTAGGATGAATGGGATCTAAAATTTATCGATTTTTATCGCTAATCAATCCCCTTTTTCACCGATAGCTGATCATTTGTTTACTGCCGTAATCGATTCGCTAATCAATTCTCTTTCCTTTTCTAAAAGTATTCATACGCCAATTCATCTGCCAGCGATATTCATGTGCCGCTTATCTGGACGAATGCTTAATTAGCTACTTAAATCAGATATATTTCATACAGAGGCATAAATTATCGTTTACTGATTTCTTTGTTATGATACATTTGGATGCTGATAGTGGAGTGGTAACGATATCATTCAGTAATAAACACACGGTCACTGCTTCGATACCTCACGGGCCAACCAAACCTCCCATCGCACTGGGGTCAATAGAATAGTGTTTACCTTATCTAGAGGGAATTTCTTCCGATCTACAAAGGTTGGTGACTCCAAGAACTCAAGGCTTGGGAAACCCGTAGTAGAGCTATCTCAGAATTCCAGAGAGAATCAACTAGACCAGTATTCAAGGTCATTTGTGAAAAAGACTAAATCCTCAAGTTGCAGGTCAACTCATACCTAAATCGTAAAACCTTCGCGGATGATCTGCCGGGTCTGACAAGCGGAGAGAATGAAATAAGTGCTGGGATCCCAATAATCTGTGAAGTAGTGTTATGTGGAAAAAATTGTGTAACTCCCACGTCCGACTTTGTATTAACCTCGGCATTGAATGAACAATTCTTTCTACTTCTGCTCAGCAAACACGAGGTGCTACTTTCTTTTTCTTTATTTACGTACAAGCTCACGCTTCGACAGATTTCGCCTTCCTCAGAGTCTGGAAAGGTCAAGTTGAGTACAATCTACACGGACAAACACCTCCATAACCAAACAGAGAAGATGCTGAACAAAAATTTCAATCACATTGAACACAGCTTTGCACACTCACCGCTGACTATGAGTCCTCCACTTAGTATGTCGCGTGGAGACCAACCGCGCAGAGTTCGCATCGATTTGTGATGTGCCCATCTCATCAGAATAATAGGCTTATATACTGCCCAATATCATGCGTGATAATGAGGCATTCACCCCTGCGCTTCATTTTTGGATTCTTGGAATTTATCCAGAATGCCTCTAGAGTTTTGCGCGCTTGTGTTCTCGATTCTTGCGAGAGGATCGTAACCTCTTACTTCAAAATCTTCTTCGTTATGTCTCTGCGTCCTATGCGTGCCTAGTGGAGCGTTTGGTTTACTTTTGCCGACTAGGTGTTCTTTTATACACACGCAGAGTGGTCTACCCGTTTCGCCAACGTATTCGTCCCCGCACGCTTTACAAGAGATCAGATAGACTGCACCCGAACTCATGCAGTCACCGTCTCTACCATTGGGACAAATTATGCAATTTTGCGTTGCACATAGACAGTCGTATAGGCGGTTACGAACTAGCTGGCGTCTAAGATTACTCGGTAGCATTTCAATTATCGTTACCGAATTCTCTAGACCGGCCCTTCTTAAACAGTTTTATCGTTGCACTTACTTCATTTGAGATGAAGGGCAGTATAAACGGGACCTTATTGTCGCTAGATTTATCGTTGGGGTACCTGAGGTTTCCTCTACACCTATCTCGAGCTACAGTTTCGTACCTATTAAAAATGGCTATTTGCCGCGCCAAGTTCCTGGACTCTTCTCTCTGCTCTCTTCCCGTGCACACGTTGGTTGCTGTTCGAAACATGTTTCTCACAAGCGCCCTTTTCGTGTGAGAGGGGTGAGAGGAGAGGTAATGAACCAAGATGTTTTTACTACTTGGCTTTCGACACCATTTCGTAATGTAGCCCTTTTCTGATAGGTTTATTTGCACGTTCAGAAATGGGAGCCAGTTTTCCTGTGGTTTCTTTCGGGTGAATTTAATATACTCTGACTGTTCGTTCAACAACCGGAAACATCTGACAATTTCTACTTGTGTTGAACAAATGACCAAGCAGTCATCTATATATCTACAGTAAAGTAACGGACCGAGGTCGATTACTGGCGCTTCCACCTTAGACATGAATGCAATGGCAAGACTTGGTGCCAGTCGTGTCCCATTTCCAGCCCTCTCATTTGTGCGTAATACCTCCCGGACCATCTGAAGATTGAGCAGTTTAGGCACTCCTTTAAGAGTATCATCAAGTGCTGAATCGAGAAGCCATGCATGTTTATTGCTCTTTCGTGTTGTATAAGAAGCAGTGTTGCTGTGCTGCTCAGTATTTGGAGGACCGCCTCTGGAGGAAAATAGAGGGTGGGTCAGTGTTGATTTGCAACTTTATTAGGTCTAATGCTAAAGTGACTTTGCGGAGAAAATTCGAAGACCTTTTGAGTAAATCGCATAACACGGCTTCAAGAGCATACAGAAACACCGCCAACGAAGATCAAACAATAGGATAAATAATGTGCAGAGAAATTCAAGGCTAAGCGTGCTAGGAGGCATGACTCTCCCTGACGCGCGCCCGCTATTAGAATTGGGACCGAGTTTCTCACCATCTGAACCCACTTCTAAAGTAACTTTGCGTAGGGTCGCATGTGGTTTACATGAACTTCAAGATAGACTCCGCAAAAAAAGCTAGGGATGAAGCGCTAAATAGGCGCGAACAACAAAAAGTGGGGGCAATACCAGTACCACCATTTCCTCAACCGTTCTTTAGGCAACAAGAGCCCAGTAATGAAGTTGACATTAAATTTCGGACGTTTACGAATGAAACTTTCAAAGTCCTTGATCACTATCGCGCCAAGATTTGCTGTTCCAACCTCACTGAAATACAAAAACGTGGTATGCGGGAGGTACGAGAGCTGATAAGATCGAAAAACATAAGACTATCGGTTAGTGATAAGAAGGAGAGTTGTAATTCTCCATCAGTTGGATGTTGAGATAACGGAAAACCACCTTGAAGATGGTTCCCTTCATCGTCCATCGTCTGAGAAGCAATTTAAAAGTCAATACCAAAAGTTAAACAACGAATGGGTTAAAGTGGCAAGAGCGGCTGGGTTAAAACCATCAGTTGTCTCTCAACTCAAAGTTGACTAACCAATATCTCCCGTCCTGTATTTACTTATCAAAACCCATAAGTTAGTATCCAGCGATGACCTCGTGTCTACCGATCCATCATTGTTTGAGATTAGACCTATCATTAGCTGCGTGGACGGGCCAACGGATAGAATAATGTGGTTGATAACCCTAATAATTGCTCAGTTGTTGAAGTACATTATAGCTCATCTAACGAACACCGAAATGTTCCTGGATCGTCTACGTAACGCGCGACCCAACAGCGCGTACGTGGTGGAGTCCGAAAATCCACCGAAACGTTAGCCTGTACGTAAATAAAGAAATAAAATAACACCTCGTGTTTGTTGAACAGAAGTAGAAAGAAAAAATTGTGCACTTCGTACTTCGGAATACATAATAAATTATATGATGTACTTAAATTAGAAATTATATATTAGTTTGTAAATCACTGCGATTAATCTGACATTTGAAAATGAATGACGTGAGCAGTAAAACTTTTTCTATTGTGCAAAAAGTCTCGATTTATTAACACAATAAATCGCCACTATTACTTCTACCACCTGTAGTCCAGTTCATCGTCGAGTGACTCGAGCGGGCGGCAGTAAATCTTCCATTTTTACCTGTCGCGTGCAAGAGTATCCCAGTGGGTTCTCGCTCTAGGGACTCGTCGAGCGTCATATCTTTCTTCTAGGCTCTTCGTGAAGAACTCTAACCACCGAGTTGGTGGTCTTCCTGCAGTACGTTTAACATCCCAAGCAATCCAGTCACTAACGGCTCCTGTCCATCGTTGTCGTTCATACGCAT